GTATTTCTATCTGGATTGAACCTTCCTCCCAGATAAATTGAGTTGTGAGAGATAATTGCCATAGTTCTTTTTGTTTGTTCCAACTTTTTTCAAGAATGGCATCTTTTCAAGGGAATTATCATTAGTTGTTTATATCTTATCAGAAGTATCATTTCATGAATCTTGCTTCATTAAGAATAATGAATTAATAATGGTTGGAGACGGTTTACCATTTCCAATTTTCAGGATTACTGGGATTATGAATAATTTTGAGCTCCACACAAACAACACTAAACAAGGTAGATACGGTGATTGGATATAGTATCCTTTCACTGTACTGAGAATCAATATTTAATATCAACTTATCATGCCAGGACTCTTGCAAGTTGTTTAATCTCTGTGTTTGCCCTCAATAACATACTTCTTGCTGTATCTCCCAACATTTCAATTCATAACTCTAGGGGTGTCTGTGGCCAAGATATTTTGAATACATTGGTATATGTATGTATTTTTCTTTTGTGTGTGTGAGAGAATGTTTCTTCAACAGCAAAAAAAAAAAAAAAAATAGTCATGAGTTGTGGAAGTCCCTCCCATGGAGCTTGAATGTAGAGGGTGGAATGTGTTCATCAAGGTCTAACATAGAGGGTGTTGCCCATTGGAAGTGAACTAAGAATGCCATCTAGTAGCTGATGATGTCACGGTAGGTTCCTTTCCTTCTTCTGCACGGCATTGGAGATTTTGCTCAGTGTCTCTGCTTCAACCATTGTTTTTCTTTTATATGGAAGAAGAGGGGTTATTACATCTGAAGTATGTTCTTTCATGATGTGTGTCCGAATCTTTCAGAGAACCTTCCACTGAAGAAGCAGTACGTATTAATTCTCCTACCTATTCATGCCATCACCATTATCTCACTGTTGGCTCTGCTGGTGCTAATACACTATTACCACTCGCAAAATTGACTCCTGTTTCACTATTAACAAGAGCATCATCATGGATGAAGAGATACTCTGCTGAGAAGAATGTATTGTTTCTGAGTGCCCTTCAGGTCCCATCTTTTTTTCTAGAAGGCTTTTCCACTCCACTAATTCTTCCAGTTCTAAAAATTATTGATTCTATTTTGACTCTGCTTGTCTGCAATTTTTGTACACATAACATAAATGACCTCTCTACTTGCTCTATAATTGTTTCCTCAGTTTCCACTTTTCCATTGTGGGTATTCTGGCTTTCAGTATTTTAGAGGTATGTCTGCCTGGTTTGAATTTTACATTTTTAGAATTAAAATGAATTTCAAACAGGTACTTGCCTCTGAAAGACCTTCTCTCCCGTCTATCTGAAACTGAATTTTCATCACAACAAATCTAACTTATAACAGGAAACCAAAGCTTATTTAAAACCCATGGACATGTGCAATAAGTCACATGGCAGGCAGCAGAATGGAATATGGATAAATGATGTATATGATACATCTGAACAGTGATGGAATATCTCATAAAGAACATCAAAATTCACTTGGAGTAAACTTAAACTATTTTTAATGCTAGAAACTAGAGAATCTTTTTTTTTTAGTTATTTGTCTGATAAATACATTTTGAAATAGTTCTTTTAAGCATGAACATAATTTTTTAATGTGATGAAAGTTTGTTGTAGAATTAAAGTTTCATATCACTTCATTCTTCTGCATGATTCAATAAAATTCACATGTTTGAGTATTCATTCATCTTACCAGGTGTCCCCAAAGAGGTGAGCACAGATAAGTTGGGTGCTACTAGTTTAACTCTTAGTACTCTTCTGAGAGCTCTTACACTTACACAAATAAAAATAAAGTATAAATCATTATAACTTCTCAAATAATAACAATTTAATTTATTCACAATATATTGGTTATCGGCCAATGATTGGCAATTACTGATTGTAAACTTATAACTTAAAGACATCAACAACTGCTAGGAGTGCTTTATGTATAAATTAGAAATTTATTTATTAATGGGCTACTTTTTCTTTGTTTGGAGTTACAGTCTTGTGCAGCCTCGAGATTTCTTTCAATATTTGAACAACTTCCATATTAGCATAAAAATGTGCTATGGAACATTAGAGTGCATCTAATTAACTTCTTAACCTTGAGGCACAATTAATTTTAGTTGGCATGAAACATTACCTCATGAGGTGTATATAAAACCAACCAGTGGAGTATCATATAGTTCTAACTTCTATCAAGCTCAGCTTAGACAATAATGCTCGTGAAAGATGAAAACCAAAAAATTCTCTTTTAACAAAACAATTGTTAGAGTGAAACATCATATGAATTGAAAATTCAATAAACTGAATAGATAGTCGCTACTAAAGTTTAGCAATAGCCTTTTTTGTTTTACCTTTTATAAATGATGAAATCGATCATAATTAAGGTAAAATAATAAATTAAAAGCAGCAGTCTTGATATTAAAGTACATGAAAGACAAAGCCTTATTTTAAATGTGTTTGGCCTTCAAAAAATTGTCATGCTCAGTGCAAAATTTTATTGTTGTTGGAGCTTGCTTATAAAATAGTTTTTCAATAAAATATGTTTTATACTCACTATCTTGTGCACTGTGTGATTTCACACATATTGAATAAACTAATCCATAGCTGCACAATAGGATTCAAAAAATTGAAAACTTGTTGAATACATTATACAACAGCACACAAGTATCTAAAGGTGCCATGTTACATTTTACAGCAAAATGTTTTGCAAAAAATTTAACTGATGTTTACAGAAAAATTTTGGAAAGGGTTTTGATTGACAAACTCAAACCAACAAATAATAATAGACTTACTTGGCCTCTATGGAAAATTCAGCATACTAACAATGAATTCAGTTGGTGTAATTTCTACTTTTATGCCACTATATTATTATTGTGATTTGTACATATTTATTTTCCATATGCACAAGTGTATACAAGTTGTATATATATATACTAATTTTCAGTTCTAAGCAACCTTTCTATAATGTCCTCTTGACTACCAATATTAATATTCTTTTGTTATAGTATAATTGTTTTGTCATTGTGATGTATCATGTAACTGAGTATTTATTTTATTCCTTGTTAATTTATGATTGGTAACTGTCTGAAGTAGGCCTATGGGTGAAAAATTGCAGATAAATTCAGTTTTTTGTTCAAAAGATCTGGCTTTATTTAATTTTATTTAAACAATTTATGTTACGTTGTTTACCTGTCAAACAGCTTCAAATTTTAATTTTAATGTAATAATTATTGTATTTTAAGATTTCACATATGGAAATATCTTGTGTATTTTACTTGCTTGTTGATATTTGCTGGATAAAATAAGAAAAATACCTGAAGGGTTTATTTACAATTTACATAAAATTACTGTTTCATAGTGTATGTAAATCACTTTTATAAAGTCATTCTTACCTTAGGGGTTTTGTTAATATCAGGAAGCATCATTTTCATGATGACAACTTGAATAATTTGAGGAATTTTTAGGTGTTTAGCTCATAGAATGGTTCTGAGTTTTTCAAATACGAACTGTTAGCTCATAGCTTTGTCATCCCTTGACTGATTTGAGATCTAATTACTGTTTTGGACCCAGGAGATCAAACCCTTTTGAATGGTATATTTGACCATGCCCGAGGTCTCATAGATTAATTTACTCTAATCCTGCCTAAGAGAATTTCAGTTTGAGGGTAGGCTGGTAGAGTTCCTGATGAGTAATGAAATCAAATCGGGTATACACTTCTAAACTGGTATTGCTGGAACACAGAAATCTAGAAATATTTATTCAGGAGAATAAAGGTCTCGTAGATTAATTTACTCTAATCCTGCCAAAAATATTTTAAGTGCTGCAGCTATTGAGGATTCCCTCATGTTTTGACTTACTGATATATTTGATGATGGTTGCATAAAGAATGACTGCTTTTTATCTACAGCACTTTTTGGGCTGGCTGCTTGTGTAAGGGTTTTGTTAATTGATTTCACATGTGGTAGGAAAAGACTCGGTGGATGTTCTATAGTTGGAAATGAAGCATACACAATAGCAACTTTCAACTTGTATTATGCATTAAAGCTTTAAAAACAACTTTCTCAAGTTTTTTGCAGTTACTTTTGTTCAATCAATGGACAAGTTCAACTTGTATTAATCTTTTGGTTAGTGAATGGAGTAACTCCAGGAAATAACTTAAGACTGATGGTTAGCTCTGTTACATGTTACTTTATTCATTATGTCAGTCATGTATTTTAGCACACATTAAAGTAACGAAGCCACTTCATATAAACTTTTGAAAATAACCCATATTGGATATCTTGAGGCTTCTGTAAATAGGGAGACCCAGATGTTGAAGGTTTTATGTTCTTTCTTTTCCTCTGTTTTAAGTTATCACTCAAAATTTTATTTTGAATACAAACTTTTTTTGTATTTTGTTTTGCCCATTTGTATTTAATTGGCTACAGTTCATAAGTATGGTATGTGATGAATGGAAAGGATACCTTTTTTGTTAAAACTGTTGAAAATGCATCCATTAAAACCAGTCAGAAAGTGAAGCTGTAATTTATGGAATGTAAGCCAGGTTTTGTTTTACTCTTTTAAAATTAATGGAAAAAAGTTGTCCCTAATATTTGGTTAGTAATATTGTATTTTGGGCTCTCATCTAGTAAAAAATGCTGTATGTGTTTAATTTATTAGTTGAATAAGTGACAACATATGCTTATATTTTTCAAGAGGTTTTCTTTTGAATTTTTATTACCTAATTTATCCTATAATAATTTCTTAGCCAAGTCCTTCTGGTTACTCTTCATTTTTTCGTCTGCCTTTCCATCTTTGTTTTCTTCTGAGGTGCTAATTTAATTCAGTTTTCTGAGATTGTTAGTTTGTATAATTTGATAAGTTAGACTTCTTACTGTTTTTGAGTTAAATGAATTTACTCAGACTACGCTGGACATCACAAGAGTAAAATATCATAAATGAAGATTTTTTTATTTCTCAGTGAGCTGTATATACTGTTATATATCTATTGTTAATGTTTTTAGAAAAATACTGGAAGAGGAGGCAATGGTGCAAGTCCTTCAGAGTTCATAAAGCAAAAACTCCTAGCCAGTACAAAGCAGTCTAGTGCAGAAAAATATAATAGAGAATCATACACAAAAGAGAAAACTACAAGCAGTCCAAGGCCAAGTGAACAAAAATGTACTGGTAAAGAATCTCGCAAGAACATTGTAAAGAGAAAAAGAAAACAATCTGCTGAAAATGAAGAAACACCCTCAAATAAAGTTCAGAGAGGTAAAAAAAAAAAATTAAAACTTTAGCCCAGAACCATAGAAAACTATGTCTAGTTGTATTGTGGTAACCCTTGCCTACTATGATTATGTGAATAATTTAAAGTATCAGAAGTGGAATAGGGAAAACAGCTCTATTAATACCTCTAACATTGAAATTCTTAAACAGTAGGGAGGAAGCATAATGCACAATATTTAAATTGAATGTTTAAAAGCCTCTCCATGCAGTTAATACAGAATAGGTGTTAACATTGTCAACACCATTGGTCTATTGCACTGATCCTGTTTCTGTGAAGCTATACAAACTAAATTTTACTGTAACTCTGAAAATAAATGTACTTTCACAAAATTCCAATTTATTGGACTAATTATGGTGCTCTAACAATACTAAAACATGAGAGATCTCATACGGCCTATTTTAAAGCTTCAAGAAATGATTTAGGTAAGTGTATTTACCTAAGAAGTTTTAGGGCACTAAAGAAAAAAAAGATAATTTTTTCTCAGCATTCCTTACAAAAAGCTTCCTTATGGTGAAACATTATGTTTTCTTTGTCAGTGTATCCCATATAACATTATTTATCTGAAAATGTGTAATTTCAATATATTTAGTATTTTATAGAATGAATTTTAACTTACATATGGAAAATATTGTGGACTGGTTGTGTATACATGTATCTTGCAGCAAAGAAAAACTCTTTAAAAAAAATACATTTTAAATAAAATTAAGTGTTTGCTTCTTAGTGTAGAATACATATTAGGATGAAAATTAAGATTTCCAATACAATATCTTACAAGTAGCTTTTCTTGACTTAAGACTGCCCTCTATATGCACTAATTTTCTCTCATCAATAACCTTGATACTCCCACCTACCATCATGTGTATTCGCGTGAGACATCTGCATGCTATCCTGTAAATTATTATGCAGCAACCCTCCACCAATAGGAATGTGACACAACTCACAACTCATCATCATTATCCCCTCTTCTCTGTGCAGTCCAAAATCACTTCCCAGTTGGCAATCTTAACTGTTAAGACATGATTTCACTCGTGTATTCTGACTGAAAATTTTCTTAATTGATCAAGTTTCCTGTGAATTATTAGGCCGTGCATAATCGTTTTTCACCATATTTTTTCGACTTTTAATGGCTTGAGAACAGAGTTTGAGAACTGTTTTTTTCCTGATACTTCTCTGGTCATACACTTGCAAGTCCATGTGGAATCTACCACAGCTACTGCTACTACTACAGCTAATTTGCCAGCCATTTCAATGGCATCTGAGCAAGCTTTATCTACTCAAGAAGTAACAACTCTGGTTAGGGAGTTAGCTATTTTTATGTAGTCTTCTGAATCACCTGATGATTGTCTTCGCATACCAGGTGAGGGTTTGCTTGAACATGACGATAAGGATTTGGACAGCCTGTTTCCCCTTCTTGCCTGTGCCTCACAGCTGCGTGTTATTTTTGGTGATGTGTCCAGTCCTCCTTCCCTATTTTTCGATTTAATCAATCAGGTTTGGTATGTTTTATCCTTATTTCCAATTTCCTGTGATTCTACTCCTGCCCTTCTCAGTGATGAGCCCTTGTGTCAGTGTTTAGATATTGTGGTTCATGTGAGTCGCTTTGCGGACCAGTTGCATTCAGGTATTAGTATGTCTCAACCCTCCACATACTCTCAACGACCATGCTCTGGAATATCATCCTTCTGATTTTCCCTTTCTAGACTCACAGAATTTGGAGTCGCTTGTCCCTTTGTGGGGATATGACTCCAATACTTTGGTTTCCTTTTCCCAGCTTCAGCTTTCCCATATTTGTCTCACCCTGTCCATCCTTCTCTGTTCCTTGTCCTCCCTACACCTGTTGTCTGAGGCTATTCAGCATTCCCAAGAGGGTTTTTCAGTGGAGACTTGGAATTTCTTTTTCTCCACATTAGCACACCTCTCCTCTTCTGCCCTGGCTTTGCAATTGTGGTTGATCTGTTGTTGGGATCTTTTGGGTCAGGATGCCCTTTTGTCTCAGGTTTGTTTGTCTCCCTCCTCTTTGTGCGATTTGCACATGGCACCTTTTACTATGGCAGGAGGTTTTTGGAGACATTCCTGACTGTTATGGAGGCCAAGGTTGAGTCAGGTTGATTGCATACCTCCTTTTTTCCTTGGCCTCCCATTTATCCCAAACCACTCCTGTACATGTTTCTATGTTTTGCCCTCCTCCTTCATCTCCTATGCCAGTTCCTGCTTCTTCATATTCCTGAGGTTTGCTGTCGGTCTACTGGCAATCTCTGTGGTAAAATTATGGGTTTGGGACCTTTGGGGTCTAAGTTCCTCAGCTTTGCCCACAGTTGGAGAGACTTTACCACAAACCCTTTGGTTCTGAAGGTGGTTTCTGAGGGTCTGGTCCTCCTTTGTCTCCGCATCCCATTTTCTTCCATTTTCCTTGGGATCCCATTGATGGCCAATGACTTTCAGAGGCAGTTCAGGACTTGTTTGCAACAGTGCCATCAAATGGAAATATACCTTTCATTGGGATTTTTTATTCCTGTCTGTTTGTTGTCCCCAAAAAGGCAGGGGACTGGCACCTTATCAATGATCTGTTGGATCTGAACCTCTTCCTGGTCCTCACATATTTCACCATGGAGTCCTACCTTGTTCTTCGTTGAGTTTTCACTCCTGATCAGTGGATAACAAAGGTCAATATGTCGAATGCCTACTTATACATTCCCACCTCCCATGCATCCCAACATTATCTTTGATTTGTCCATCAGGGATGTGTGTGTTTCAGTTCCGTGCTCTTCTGTTCTGATTCCCCTAGCCCCTACCCTTTTTTTTGTCTGGTGGTCTGGGCATTTGCCTCTCTTCTTCATTCCTAGGGCCTACTTCCACCATTATATGGACAACTGGCTACTTCTAGCTTCCTCATACTCAGTTTCTCCTCAGAGAAGTGGCTCGAGTTGGTTGGTTGGTGAAGGTGAAGTCTTTCCTCCCCCCATGTTATACCTAGTTCATCTTGGGGTGTTGTTCAATCTCCTACTCAGTCGGACCCAACCTTATCCTCTTTGGTTGAGGACTACTAGTTCTGCCTCTCCTCTTGTTCTTCTCCCACTGCACAAGAGGTTCTCTCTCTTTTTGGGGATGTGGGCTTCTCTGGAAGCATTGTTTGGGATCCCGTGGATGCTCCTCTCTTCCTTCCTCCAAACTTACAGACCTATTTTGCCTGGTGGTTGGATCGAGAGAACACCACTATTGTTGTCCCTTTTCCTTCTCCTCATCTGGAATGTCACCTTTTTACGGATGTTTCTCTTTTAGGTTGGGGTGCTTATCTGGATGCTCAGTTGGTTTCAAAAATGTGGACTCTCTAAGAGTCTATTCCCCATATCAGTCTCTTGTGGAGCTCATCACAGTTTTTTGGGCTTTAGTTTATTTCCTTCCAGGCCTTAAGGGTCAGTCAGTGATGGTCCATTTCACCAACTCGACAGTGATCTAGTGTGTCAACAGGCAAGGGGGCACTCGGTCGAGAGACCTCTGTTTTTGGACATTGGATCTCCTGTAATTCTTTTGTTGGTTTGTCATATTTGGGGTGTTCTGAATCTTGTCATGGATTGTTTATTGTGTCCCAACAGGATTCTCTCTATGGAGTGGTCACCGGACCCATGGGTTCTTTGGGGTCTCTGTGCCCAGTTGGGTGTTCCAAAGTTGTACACCTTTGCCATTCATCTCAATTCTCAGCTCCCATGGTTTTGGCTGGAGCAGTGGATGCTCTCAATCAGTATTGGTTGGTTCTCTGCCTGTAATACTTCTCTCCCATTCGTCTGATTCCTCGGGTCCTTTCCATCATCCAGACCCCTCTGTGTTGGGTTCTGTTAGTGGCTTCATATTGGCTAGCTCTCTTGTGGTTTCCACTTCTTTGAGAGGGTAAGAGCTCCTTTTTTCTGCATTTTCTTTGCAGGTGCCTTTGTTGCTTAGTGTTGCCTGACTAGGTATACTTATTCTTAAATCCGCAGTGTAAAACCTGTGAGTAATATGCGCTCACCGTTGAGATGTGGTGGTCCACAAGACCACTTTTAGGCATACCTCGTGGAATATTGCTTCACAAAGATTTTCATTCTGGACCATAGACTTGTGAACTAGCATGAGTAAAGCAGACAGGGATTACTGCCCATTCCAGATGAACTGTGTATTGTAGGTCATAGGATTGGCCTGCTTTTCAAAATATGGTACCATAGTCACTCATTGCACTGTCTCCAGTGCAGCTTTCCTCTGGACTTTCCAACACACTTTTCCTCCTTTTTCTAGTGGAGTATAAGAGTCCTTGCCACTTACCAGTTCCTATCCACTTGGGTGGTGGACCATGGAGGTTTCCTCCTGAGTGTGCTCAATCCCATTCAGTTGAGAGTAGGATGGTGGTGTTCTGTTGGTGTAGATGGTGTTGATGCTCAACCTACCACAGGTCCGATGTACAATTCCAGATGCTGTCAGATGTTGGATGATGCATTCCACCAACATGCAGTTCACCCCTCCAACTTAGGCACTCTACTTCCTACTGTTTCCTGGATGTCAGTTCCTGGCAGATATGGGGGATGGTTGGAGCTGGACCAGCCACACAAGTCATCACGTATGTGGCTGAGTATTCTCCTCCTTCTGCTGACTGGACGATACATTCCCAATGCTGCCTGGTGATGTACTGGATATGCACCCCACTTTGCTGTTTACCTTCCCACCATTTTCCAAATATTGGTTCCTGGCAGATATGGTGCTGGTTGTGTTGGATGATACACATGATGATGTAGATCCTTGCTACGAAAGCTCATCCTCCCTACCAGTTCCCATATTCGAGGTGAAGAGTTGAGAACCCTATTCCTACCATGGACTGGATATTCCTATCACGATTCGTATGGTGTTGATTGAGGTCAATCTCCCATTTACAGTCCAACATGCCATAGTAACTCTACGCTTTTGGTTCCTGTATTTCACATGTGGCCAGGTACCCTCCTCCTACCATGTGCTGGAAGATACATTCCCAAAGTCGCCTGAAGATGCACTCTCACTTTGCTGTCCACTATCCTACTTTCCCTGGATGTTAGTTCCCGGTGGATATGGTGATGTTCATGTTGGATATGCACACATTTAAGCTTAACTGTTTCTGCTTTTAATGTGACAAAATTTCTTGTGGGCCAAAAGTATACCTGGCTCAGAAGTGGAGGTGTTGCATTCCATTTATTTGCACTCCCCATTGTCTTTTTTTAGGCACTTTTTAAAGCGGGATCATCTTACTAGGCCCTCCACCAACTCAGTGTAGGATTATAGCTATTTGTCAGAGGAGTTAAGATAATGTATCAGAAGTTAAGATTTTCCTAAACTGTAAGTGTCTTTCTGATAGATACTTACCTCTCTCACATTTCCCACCTGTCCTCCCCACTTGGTTTTGTATGTACTGCCCCATCACAAAGTGATTTTGGGCTGCACAAAGGGAGGAGGCTAGTGACGATAGGAGTTGTGTTGCACTTATGTAGGTGATATCATGCAGATGTCTCACGTGAATATATGTGAGGGTAGGTGGGAGTATCAAGGCTAGTGGTGAGGTAGTATTTATCAGAAATACATTTTTAGTATAGGAAAATGTTAACTTTTGTTGCAAGGAATCTTCATTTTGTGTGTATATTTTTATCTCTTTCTTTCTTAATTATTTTAGAGGCAAAGGGATTTCACAAGGTGAAGGAAGGGCCTTTTAACCAGTTGATGAAGAAGGTTGTTTTTGTATTAAGTGGCTTTCAAAATCCATTTCGAAGTGAGTTGCGAGATAAAGCCTGTGCCATGGGTGCTAGGTACAAAGGAGACTGGAATGACTCTTGTACTCACCTAGTGTAAGATTCTGTTTTGTTTAGCCTAATGATTCTTAAATAAACTATTTTACAACATGGCTTAATTTTATTTCTATTTTCTATTCTGATGTTTTTTGAACTTCAATGTAGAGATTAAGCCTGAGCAATAGAGCTGGATGATTAACTTGATTAATCAATACAGTTGATTATCCATGACCATTGAGTACATCGATTAGTGCTACGTAAAATAATCAATTAATCAAGGTTACTATTAAATTAATTAACTATATGCAAATGGGGTCAGTCAGTTTGACAGACCTTATAAAGAACATGTAAACATGATGTTGTATATATATATATATTATATCTGAATGTACTGAGTGTATCTCTACTAAAATTGTACTAGTATTTAGTAA